CAGGTGCTGGCGAAACGTTAGGAAACAAAACTTCAAGAACACGGCCACACAGCCCGGAAGACCCAGACCAGCCAAGGAATATAAAGTTGGGTTTATTTGTTCAAGGTTAAAATAAGTTGGGTTTTTTTTTTTTTGTAACGTTTTGGCAACCCTTTATGGACTTTTTGCTGACACCAGGATTGAAAAGGTGATGTTTTATGGGTTTGTTTATAGATAAGGGATGGGATGAAGAGGTATCTGTTTAATCTTGTAGGGGTGAAGAGTTATTAAATTTGTTTATGCTTGTTGTGATGAAGATTGGAAATTATTTCTTTATATATTTCTTTTCTTTTGCTTTATTATATTCTTTCTTTTCCTTTTTTCTTTTTTCCTGCACTTTTTCTTCTTTCTTTCCATTCTCTTCTCTTTCTCTAACTTTAGTTTGTATTAGTTTTTACTATTATAATTAAAATTCTTAATAAAAATTATATTTTAAAAAAATTTCCCCCTTCTTTTTAGCATGTTAACTTGGCTATGACTCCACCACCATCACCATTTCTGTGGAGTGGTATTGAGGAGCTCTTTGTTGCCCAAGGACCTATTGCAGCTTGGGAGGGCCGTGATTTTCACTCTCTGGTCTCAACATTTAGGCAAGGACTTTCTCTGACCTTTTTTCTAGGCGGACGATGCTGTGCCTTCTCCCCTGATGGGAAAGCCTTGGCAGTTGGATTGAATGATGGAAGCTTTCTGGTAGTGAACGCTGATACTTTGGAAGATATGCTTTCTTTCCATCACAGAAAAGAAATGATCTCTGACATCAAATTTTCTCGAGGTACAAAGTAAACATTTTTATTATTATTTTAAAATCCTTTAAAATAAAAATGTTGAGGAGTGGACTTAGATTTTAGTCAAGTATAGGCAATACTGGATATTTATAAACATTTTAATTATATATATATACAATATATATGTATACATATATATATTTTTGTTTGTGTGTGTGTTTAAATTTGCTTTTTAAAAGATCTGTTAATGTATGATGATCTGTTAACCTATGAAATAAGACATTATTTCATTATATGGAGAAACTAAGCAAGCTTAAACACCCACCGCTTAGCCCATTAGCAGGAAGTCAGTCAGCTCCCATTCTATAGCCCCCAAAGGATACATAGATTACAGTACCAAAATTTGGTAGCAATGTAATGTAGCAAACTTTCATTGCAGTGTGGCACAACAGGTGTGTTAAGGTCTTGCAAGTCTTATTTCACTCATTCTATACTTAAAACTGCCCACCTTGACCCCAAAATTTAAAAAGTGCCTGTAAAAATGTTACCAGGCATACCCCTTGCATCATCCATAGGCCTAAAAATATTGTTTTAAATCAGATGAGGTCCCAGGTGAAAAAGAAAAAAAAAAAGAGGAAAAGGAGCTGCTGCAGCTGTTGCTGCTTCTTAAACTAGTTGCAGGCAACCCATGGTCCTCCAGATGTTGTTCAACTTCATCTTTTGCCACCCCAGTCTGCAGAGCCAAGGCTGAAGGATGCTGGGAACTGTAATTCAGCACCATATACAGATTGCCCACTCTCAGTATACCAATAACAAACTCATTCTTCAAATAAGGATCTTTCTACATCAAC